CCTACAGCCTCCACTGTGGCTCCCGTCGCTCCGCTCTGAGTTCCTTGGAGATGGTAGAGAGCATGCGCCAGATGATTAAATTCAAAGCAGCAAAACATGCGGAAATGATCCAGGGTTTCCGCGGATCATTTAAAACAATTACAATCCATTATTTTTTGGGGGATTATTTCATTAATTTCATAAATTTTTATGGGATTTCAGTGTAACAATCAACATATACTGAATCGAACCGAACCGAAAACCGTGACCACGAAACCGTGAATCGAATCGAACCGTGGATTTTGTGAACCGTTCCACCCTTAACACATACATATACAGTAGATAGCTGCTATGGACACAGTGGCCAATTTATTTTGCTCACTGCAAAACAATAAAAATGTCCTTATTGGACATCAGCCAGCTGAATGCAACAATCCTCCACTGAGGCAGCTAGAATTCACTGACTGAAGCTATTTGCTTTCCCTTACTGAGAGAAAAGGCTATTCTCCACATGAGCCTCTCTGAATTCTGCTTTCTCAGTTTGCTACCCTCGCATAGGATGGAAAAAAATGTATCAATGAATGATTTAGCTATTCATTTATTATTAGATACAAAGTAAAAAAGTCTTTAGGACTTTTTAAATGTTTTTTTTGTGGGGTTTTGTTTTTATTATTTATGAACATATTTCTCACTTCTTCCATTAATTGTTCTTCCACCTGCTGCAGGCACCGTGATGACCCCCAACTACCTGCGCTCACCCAAGATCAGCGTCTCGCCCTTCTGCGATTGCACCAACAGTGGCAACAAGAAAGACGACTGCGACAAGTTCACCGAGTTCTTCACAGAAAACACCTGCCTCCGTAAGTCTCCCCAGCTTCTCCAGCTGCTGTTTGCTACAGATGTATTTTAAACGTAGCTGTCTTATGGTGTTTTCTATTTCCATCCGCTCCTCTCTCTTGGTGTTCTTCCTGCTCGGCACTCATATCCCCTCTTTAGTTTTCTCCTCCGAACCAGATATATCCCTTTGCTGAGGCTGAGTTATTATCCCACCGATTTACAGAGAAACCAGTCTTATGTCTGCTTATTGTTTTCCTAGCTTGTGTGCTTTCAAGCTGTTACTAAAATAAATGGTTTTCCACGAAACAAAAAGGAAAACTACCTGTTTTTCAACCAATACAGATAAATTGTGATTTTTTTTTCTCTGTATGTGGAAAAAAGTAAACAACAGATGAAACCTGATGAAACCATGAGCATCCATCCATCCATTTACTAAATAAACCTTCTTATAGTTACGTAGCTGCAGATGGCTGGGTGGCTCCTGTTGTCAGTCATTAAGTAGAAATAGGCTGACGAGACGTCCTGATTTGTGCAGGAATTCTGTCCCGCCGTCTCATAAATTAAAGAAAGGTCCAACATTTGACTGTATAAAATTAGTAAAAAAGTTTTGAAAAAATAAATGCAGAGAAAGCAGAGCTGCAGTTCTTATCACAGAGCTGCACCAGTGCCCCATGTCATCACCAACCTGTGCACAATGCTCTTAAAACAGAACAGCTAAAGGATTTTAATACAAGATAAGATGGTATCTATTATTAAAAGAAAAGAAAATGTAGAAACAACAAAGACTGTTGAACGTTAT